ATCGAAGTGAGAATGGCCAGGATTCGTCTGTCATACTTTGGTCATGTTGTCAGAAGAGACCAGTCCCTGGAGAAGGACATGCTTGGTAAAGTACAGGATCAGCGAAATAGGGGAACACCTTCAATGAGATAGATTGATGATGTTCTGTGACAGTGAACTCAAGCATGGTGGTTGTGAGGATGATGCAGGACCTGGCAGTGTTTTGTTCTCTTGTACATGAGTCAGAACTGGCTCGATGACACCTAACAGTAACAACATGCAGCTACAGTGATCAAAACACCCCAGTACTGGTATAGCAATATATACACAGATAAATGGAATATAATCGGGAGTCTAAAAATAAACCCACACATCTGTGGTCAACTGATTTTTTGACAAGGCTGCTAAGTCCATTTGATGGAGAAAGAAGTATCTCTTCAATAAATGGAAAATTAGATTTCCACATACAGAAAAATGAAACAGGACCCATGCTTTGCACTACATACAAAAACAAGCTCAAAATAGATTAAGGATCTAAATGTGCAAAGTAAAACCATAAAACTAATAGAAGAACAAACAGGGGCAGCACTGTCAGGCGCAGCTTTCGACATGAATTGTCTAACATAATAACAAAAGCACAAACAGCAAAAAACTAAATAAATGGGACCTCATAAAAATTAAAAACTTTTGTTCACCAAAAGACTTTAGCAAAAAGTAAAAAGACAAGCTACTGACTGGGAGAATATCTTTGGAAACCGTCTAGCCAACAAGAATCTAATGACCAAAATATATATAAAACTTTGACAACTTAACAACAAAAAGACAACTCAGTCATAAAGTGGGCAAAGGATTTGAATAGACATTTCACCAAAGAGAACAGGCAGATGGTCCCAAATACGTGAAAAGATGCCCAGCATCATTAGCCATCAGAGAGATGCAGATCAAAACCACAGTGAGATACTGTTTTATTCACACTTGGATGGCTAATACTAAAAAAAAAACTTTTAACAAATGTTGGCGAGGATGTGGGGAAATTGGATCTCTTGCTGATGGAATGCAAAATGGTACAGCCATTGTGGAAAATAGCCATTGTGGTGAGTCCTCAAAAAACTAAAAATAGAACCACCATATGACTTAGCAGTCCCACTCCTTTCTAAGTCTTATACCCAAAACTCTTGAAAGCATGCTCAAAAAGAGACTCACCAATGTTCATTACAGCTATCTGCAATAGCCAAAAGGTGGAAACAACCTAAATGTCCATCAAAGATGAATAAACAGAATGTAGTACATACATACAATGGGGTACAACTCAGCCAGTAGGAGAAACGAAGTCTTGGCACATGCTACCTTATGAATGGAGCTTGAAGACGTAATGCTGAGTGAAATAAGCCAACCATAAAATGGCAAATATTGTATGACCTCCCTTATTTAAGACAACAAGAAAAAGCAAATATATAGAGACTAAGGTTTATTAATGGTTGCCAGGAGTGGGAGGGAAAGGGGGAAAAGTGGGTTAATGGTGATGAAAAAATCACATTAAGGGTAGAGTTGCACAGCTGGTTATTATACTTGCTATCAATAAATTATGCATCTGTAAAAAGTTAATTTGGCAAAAAAATTTTGGTAGATCTATTTATATCAATGACAAAAAAAAAAAAAGTAGCTGCTGTGACTGATTATGTACAACTGACCACCTCATGTGATTTAGTTCCTTGGTTTGGAGATTTTGGGTCATGATTTCATGGATATCCCAATTATTTGGCCTAATAACTTCTTCCGTTCTGCCTCCTAGTTTGTTGTGTAGTGCCTGAGGCCTTAAAAGATTGCAGGCAGCCATCCAAGGCAAACAATTTGTCTTCATGCACCTGGAGCAGCAAAGGAGGGAGTCAGGAATAGAAGCTGGATATGGAATGTGTGGATAATTGCCTCCATGAACAACTGCCTCCTTTGCCATGAGGCCAGAAGAACTGGATGGTGCCCAGCTACCATTATTGAATATTTTGATCAAAGAACTATAGAAGAATTCTGATCAAAAGGGGGGAAACATAGAACATAATTTCAGATTCTCATGGATTCTAGGCTTTCTGGAGCCGTGGAGGCTGAATCAACCCCTGAAATGATTGCCCTGAGATAATCTTTAAACCTTAAAACAAAAATATCCCTGAAGTCATCTTAAAACCAAACAATAGTTTAGCTTAACTAGTTTAAAAAAAAAAAAAAAAGTCTGCCTTGAGCATTGTGTTCTTTGGGATCAAATTGACAACAGCAACTGGAAAGATTAGATAGGAACCGTAGAGTGTAGTGAGTTTATATTAAGGTGAGAGGAATAATTCAGAAAAGGAAGGTGAGAATGGGTACACAACTTGAAGAATGTAATCAGTGTCACTGAGTGGTAAATGCAGAAACTGTTGAATTGGGGTACGTTTTGTTGTGTATATTCTGAACAACAACAAAAAAAGAAAATTTAGAAGGAAACAAACAAAATGAGAAGAACACACCCCTGTTTATTGCAGCCCTGTTCACAAGTAGCCAAAAGGGGGAAACAACCAAAATTTCCATCATCAGATGAATAGCTAAGCAAAATGTGATACATCTGTACAGTGGAAAACTTCTCAGTCATAAAGAGAAATGGTACATGCTATGAACCTTGAAAACATCATGCTAAGTGAAATAAATCAGTCACTAAATGACAAGTATTAGATGATTCCACTTATATGAAATATCCAGAATAGGCAAATGGTATAGAGACCAAAACCTGAGTGATTAGCAGGAGTGGGGAGGGGAAAGGAGTGGTTGCTTAGGTTCACTGAGTTTGTTTTTGGTGATGGAATAATTTGGAAAAGGACACTGGTGATGGTTGCACAACATGATGAACCCAATCAGTGTCACTGAATTTTACATGTGAAAATTACTGGATTGGGAAATGTTTGGTTCTGTTTCTTTTTACCACCAAAAAAAGGGGGGAGGGGGGGACTCTATCAGAGTACCTAAGAGTGAGGCTCTGGAGCAACTCCCTAGGTTCCAATTTAAGCTCTGTCAATTTTCAGCTGTGGAATCTTGGACAAGTAACATAACCTCTCTGTGCCTCAGGTTCCCCCTATATGGGATGGGACTCATAATGTTATCTTCCCCACAGAGAAGATACATACATATATTCTCACATAAAAGGCATTTAGATGAGCATCTAGCATATGTTGTTGTTGTTGTTGTTGTTACGTGCCGTTGAGTCGGACCCGACTCATAGCGACCCCTCCTTGGGTTTCCGAGACACTATCACTACGGAAGTAGATTGCCCCATCTTCCTTCTGAGGAGTGGCTGGTGGGATTGAACTGCCAGCCTTCTGGTTAACAGTCAAGTGCCTTAGGCACTATGCTACCATAGCTCCCATCTAGCATATAGTAAGTGCTGTTTTAATTTTTTTTTTTAATCTCACAACACATCTGCGATAGATGAGGAAACTGAGGTGCAAAGCAGTTAGGTAACTTGCTCAGGAATCAGACACAGACAGTGGCAGCTCCCGAGCCCAGCTCTCAGGCATTGCCCTGCTCTGGGCTGCTAGCCCTGCATGTGCATTAGCTCGTTCATTACCTGCTGCACTTCATTCCCTAGGGGCATGTTCACTGCCTATGCCCCTGTTGATGGGCACTGGGTTGCTTCCAGCTGTCAGGTTGCCTGGTGCAGCTCAGGAAACATGTCTGGACACATATACGTTTCTGGAGGATAGGCCTCTGGAGATGGGATTGCTGAGTCAAATGGGGACCTACTTGGAATTTCTTCCTTTTAAATGTACCATTACAGCTTCAGCATTTCTCAGACACAAGAGCATCACTGTTAATGGCTGCATCACATTCCCTTCTATGGACAGGCCCTCGGTTCCCCAGCCCCACTGGAAGCACTGGGCTTGTTCCTAGTTTTCCCTTTTAAGGTTACCTCACTTTAAAATTGCTTTCAGCTGCTTTTTCTGTAGTGCAGCCTCCTTCTAGTGAGCCTGCCAGGGAAATTCCTGCATTTCTGTAGTTTAGGAGTGATGTTCTCCTCCTTGTCACTTGCAACATCTTAGGAAATGCAGTTGGCATTGGCCTGTCCATTTTACAGAATGGAAAACCGAGTCACAATGAGGTAACTGAGAGACACATTGCAGTTGGAATCAGGACTATAGGCCCCAGATTTCCTGTTTAGTGTCCTGAAGAACCTAGAAAAGCACTCAAGCTCCTAGAGGGCAGGGCCTGTCTTTTCCCTTTGAGCATCCTTGGTGCCAAGCACAGGACCTAGAGGAATGGACACTGAGAAAAGGAAGCTGTGAATAAATGAATGATAAATGTACTCAGTGAACCTAGACTCCATCTGAGATACTCATAACTGCTAGCGTTTATTAAGCACTTTCTACTTACTGTGCACCAGGCCCTGTTCTAAGCATTTTCTACACGAATTAACTATTTAATTCTTAGAACAATCCTCCAAGAAAGTTTCAGTTATTATCACTTCCATTTTACAGAGAGAGAAGCCGAGGCACAGAGAGATTGAATAGCACAGCCAAGACCTCACAGCCAGTAAAAGGCAGAGCCAGGATTCAGAGTACCAGTGTGACAGACCCCATGGTCCATGCACTAAAACCCTACCCTCCAGGGCCCCCTTTCAGCCCCACATTTAGCAGAGTGTCGTCACCTTTGCCCCCTGGAGTCCTCATTCCCCGACTCCATCAGCTGCTGGTTTCCACCAACTCTTTCCCCCCCCCCCCCCGCTTCCTTTCCAACTGCAGGCAGAAATGGGCAAGTTGCGGAGGTTGTTCCCTCTTAATCAAGCCTCCACTTTCTCCTCTGCTGCCTAGTTTCCTCTCTCTGCTTTGGGCTCCAGACTGTGAGCTCCTGGAGGGCAGGGACTAAAATACTCTCTACTCTACACCCCCAGTGCCCAGCCCACACCTGACTCATCCTCAGAATAGATGCTCAGAGAGCAGGGCCAGTTCCCCACCACCAGCTTTCTGTGTGTGTATGTGACTCTTCTCTCCTTGGTTCCACAGTGGTTGGGCTCGATATTCAGGATGAGATGGGCAGGCATGAAGTGGGGCACATCGACAACTCGATGAAGATCCCACTGAACAATGGTGTGGGCTGCCGCTTCGAAGGGCAGTTCAGCATCAACAAGGTAAGGAGATTGCCTGGGCCCCCCAACCCCTCCCCATCCCCTCAGTCCCCTCCTGCCCTGGTATCTGGATTATAGAGCTGTACACTCTCTTGGCCTGCCTTTGCATAGCCCCCAGCAAGCAGAGTGGTCAGCAACCAGAATCTGGGAGGGGGACTTGAGTCCCTGATGGCTGGCTCAGGAGGGAAATACTCTTTCGCCCTTGTGTGGATGGTGAGAAGACCTTGGTATTTGGAGCCCTGAGCCCTGGATTCAAGTGCCAGCTCCACTCCTTCTTTACCAAGCAACACCCCACATATCACTTGATCCTTCTTAGTGTCAGTTTTTAGTCTTTAGGCTGAGGTTGTCATGATGATGATAATATAATACCACCCAATTCACAAAGTTTGTTTGAGGGTTAAATGAGCTAATATACATTCCTTCATCCAAAGACATTTTATTAAGCATTTCCTCTGTTCCATGGTTGAAGACAGTGGTAATTCAGTGGTAGACTACTCGCCTTCCATGCAGGAGATTCCTGGCCGGTGCCCCTTGTGCACAGCCACCACCGTCTGTCAGTGGAGGCTTGCATGTTGCTATGATGCTGAACAGGTTTCAGTGGTGCTTCCAGATTAAAGGGGACTAGGATGAAAGGTCTGGTGATCAGCTTCTGAAAATTAGCCAATGAAAACCCTATGGATCACAACGGTCCGATATATAACCGATCATGGGGATGGCACAGGACCGGGCGGCGTTTCATTCTATTGGGCATGGAGTCACTTGGAGTTAGGGGCTACTTAATGACAGCTAACATATTTGGTTAGAGGCTCTGGGGCTACACAGCATTTAATAGATGAGCGGAGTTCTTGTTTGAGAGTTTCCCTGAGGGAAACAAGAAACAAACTAAAAAGCATTTCTGTGGATAAGTACTGGGAAAGGGAATAAAGCAGGAGAGGAAGGACTGGGTGGATTTGAAAACACCTGGGTGGAGCAGTGGTTAAAGCATTCAGCTGCTAACCAAAAGGTCAGTGGTTCAAACCCACCAGCCACTCTGTGGGAGAAAGATGAGGCGGTCTCCTCCCATAAAGATTTACAGCAACGGAAATCCCGTGGGGCAGTTCTACTCTGTTCTATAAGGTTGCTATGAAATGAAATCAACTCCATGTAGTAGGTTTGGTTTGGGTTTTTGGTCAGCTCCAAAGGGCTGTTCAAGTGTTTTTGCTGTTTTGTCACTGCAACCAGCTTTCTGAGGTTCATCCTTCCTTCCTTCAGATCCTAAGACAAGAATGTGAGCACAGGATATGGAAGGGCCAGCAAAGAGCACTCAGCACATGCCTGGGACTGTTGTAAGCTCTGTTTAAGTATTTTCACAGTGGTTCCTCACAACAGTCCTGTAGTAGTTAAGGTTATGTGTCAGCTTGGCTGGGCCTGGTTTTGAGTGGCTGGGCAGCTGGATGTAGTTATTTATTCCCCATGATGAGACTGGCATTCAACTCCGTGGTAGAATCTACAGTGAGCAGCTGAGTAGCTGCCTTTGGGATGTGGTCTGCTGTCAGTATATAAGGAGAATCTTTAGGAATGGTCTGGAGCTTTTGGCGTGCTTGAATCCTGTATGTAGCTGAGTTGTTATTCAACAGCCTGCCATGTTGTCTGTGAATCTAAGGATTCTCAATGGACTTGAATCAGTAGCCTGCTGTGTTGCTTGGTAATATCAGGACTGTGCCTTTTTACTTGTTGACCTTGGGTTTGTCAGCCTCAGCAGCCAGCAGCTGCCTGAATGAAGAAAGCCTCCAGCTTCAGTGGGCCGGGAGCAAGAGGCAGATATGATGCCTAAGATCAAGGGTCTTTCACCCAGCCCCTAGAGCCTAGCACTTTGAACTCGGACTTCTAGCCTCCAAAAATGTAAGAGAATAAACTCCTGTTTGTTCAAGCCATCCCCATTTGTGGTATACTCCTGTCAGAGCAAGGCTGACGGTTCAAACCCACCAGCCACTCCTCGGAAGGAAGATGGGGCAGTCTCCATAGTGATACTGCCTCGGAAACCCAAGAAGGAGTCACTATGAGTTGGGTCCGACTCAACGGCACATAACAACAACAACAACAACCTGTCAGAGTGGCACTAGGGAACCAAAACGAACCCTGTGAGGTTGGCCCCATTTAACAGATGAGGAAACTGAGACCCAGAGAGTTTAAACATTTTGTTCAGGAATACACACCTATCCAGTATTCCATAACGCCCTTTCTCAGTCTCATCCAGATGGAGCCATTGTCATCCCTGGCTTCTGCTTTCTTTCCTCCAGCCTTCCAGAATGCCTCTTCTCTAATCTCCAGCATCTGAAATGGAGGTTGCAAACTCACTGGCCACATCCAGCCCCAAAACATGTTAATCCTGTATAGCTTTGAAACACATCACAGCCAATATTAAAAGATTGAGAGTTTTTGCATTTAAAATAAATCCTAATTTCTAGCTTTTCTTGAAAAGTCAGAGATTCTAGTCACACTGGGCCCACATTTCATTAGCAACAATTGTCTGGAGCCAAGGAGCAGGTGCCTCTTCTATAAAGGGCATCAGCTTTCTCTTCCACAGTCCCCACTAGATGATTGGAACCTGGGCTCAGCTTTGTCACTGGGATAGCTGGACATATCTCTCCATGTAGTCTCAGGGCCTCTCCCTATCGTACTAGCTGAGATACTGGACTTCTTACATGGAACCTCAGGGCTTCCTTAAGTGCTAAAGTGGGAGCAGCCAGGCCTCCTTAAGACTTGAACTAGAACTGGGAAAATGTCACTTCTGCCATATATTTTATGGGTTAAACTGAGTCATGTGCCAGCCCAGATTCAGTGTTGGAAGTTGTCCCACCTTCATGGAAATGGGGAGGTGTAGTTCATTGGGGGCTGTCCTGTATTGTGGTTGCAATAGGAAGCCATTTGAAGGTTTTAAAGTAGGGATGCTATATGATCAGATTTATACTTTAGAACTGTACTATCCAATAAGGTAACCACATGTCATATGAGGCTATTTAAATTAATTAAAATGAAATCAAATGTAAAACTCAGTTCCTAACTCACCCTGATCATGTTTATCAAGTGCTCAATAACTGTATACAGCTAGTGACCACCATATTGGACAGTGTAGATACATAACATTTCCACCTTTACAGAATATTATATTGGACAGCACAGCTTTGGAAAGAGCCTTCTGGCAGCTTGTGGGTGGGGAGGGCTAGAGGGGCTATGAGCAGAGATCATGGACAGTGGATAGTGGTCGTAGTACTGGAGTTGGAGGGAAGTGGTCAGATTAGGTTTGTGTATTGGAGGTAGAGCCAGGAAGACTCACTGAAGATTAGATGTGAGGTTGAGTGGCATGGAGGCAAGAGTAGAAACGAAGAATACTCCCAGATTTCTTCTAAACAACCAGGCAGTCTCATTTTTGAAATATGTAAGGTTGGGAAGTGTGGATTTCTTGTAGGAGTGAGGCTGGGAATCAGTTGTTCAATTCTGGACGTAGTCCATTTGGGATTTCCTAATTAGGTGAGGGTAGTATGTTGGAAGCTGGGGATGTGTTTCTGGATTCAGGAACAAGATCTAGGCTAGGGATGTCAGTGTGAGAATCATCAGTGAATAGATGATATTAGAAGGCATAGGTGTAGGTCAGCATAGGTCAGCTACTCAAAGTAGGGTCCTAGACCAACAGCTGTAGCATCACCTGGGAACTTTTTGTTGTTGTTGTTTGCCATTGAGTTGTTTCCAATTCATAGTGACCCTGTAGGTCATAGCAGAACTGCCCCATAAGGTTTCCTAGGCTGAAATCTTTATGGTAGCGATTGCCAGGTCTATTCTCCCACAGAGCAGTTGGTGGATTCAAACCATCAACCAACCAGCCTTTCAGTTAGCAGCCAAGCACTTAACCATTGTACCACCAGGGCTCCTGGGAACATTTTAGAAATGCAGATTCTCAGACCTCACCTCAGACATGCTAAATTAGCAAGCCCTCCAGGGGATTCTGATGCCACTAAAGTTTGAAGAGAATTGGATGCTGGTTTAAGTGAGATTATCTAGGAAGAGGGTATAGAGAAGTGTTCTAAACCTGGGGTCCATAGACACTCCAGGAAGTACAGGTAGAATTCAGGGGGTCCATGGTAGTGTATTAAGGAGCTCTGATGGCATAGTGCTTAAGGCATTTGACTGCTAACCAGAGGGTTGGTGGTTCAAACCCACTAAGCCGCTACGTGGAAGGAAAACGGGGCAATCTACTTCCATAAAGATTTGTTGCCTTGGAAACCCAATGTAGGTCGCTATTAATTGGAATAAACTCGATGGCAGTGAGTGAGGTGATAGTGTATTAGGGTTCTCCCAAGAAACAGAACCAACAAGATATATACATATATAGAAAGAGAGAGAGTCCTTCACTTTAAGGAATGTTTCATGCAATTGTAGGGTTTGGCTCTGGTGGTGCAGTATTAAGTTATTTGGCTGCTAATCAAAATGTCAGTAGTCTGAACCCACCAGCCTCTCCCTGGGAGAAAGATGAAGCAGACTGCTTCCATAAAGATTTACAGCCTTGGAAACCACTCTGTGCTATAGAGTCACTATGAGTTGGAATCAACTCAGTAGCAGTGGGAGCAGGGCAAGTCCAAAATCCATAGGTCAGATAACAGGCTGGAAACTCCAGAAGGAGGTTTGTGTTACAGTCTTGAGGCAGAATTCTTTCTCTGGAAAACCTCTGTTTTTGTCCTTAAGGCTTTCAGCTGGTTGAATGAGGCCCATCCTCACTAGGGAGGATAATTGACTTTATTTAAGGCCAAATGATTGTCCCTGTTAATCACATCTTAAAAAATAATTTCATAGGAACATCATCCAGACTTGTGTTTGACCAAACAACTGGGGACCATAGTCTTGCCAAGTTGACACATAAGACTAACCATCACAGATGGGAAGGACATTACATCTTGATTTTTACTAAGCTGTAACTCAAATTTAGCATTTCTTTCCATGACAGCTGAAGACAACAGACTGTAGCAGTA